AGCTCGGAGAAGAACCTAGTTCCCTCAAACAGGAGATCCTGCAGAGTGGACTGAATCTCCTGGGATAACCCGGAGGTCTGCAACCAAGAGCTGCGCCTCATTACCACCGCAGAGTCAACAACCCTGGCCGCTGAATTCATCACGTCCCACGCCATCTGGAAGGCACCTTTCGCCAGCGCTGTGCCTTCCCTCCACTAAAGCGGCAAACTCCTGAGCTCGATCCTGTGTGAGGACCGCCTTGAATTTACCAAGGGAGTCCCACAGGTTAAAATTGCACCTGCCCAAAGGGTCTGGTGATTAGACATCCAAAATAGCAGGCTGGTCATTGAATAAATATTTCTGACAAATAAGTCCAGTCTCTCTGCGTCTTCTTTAGCGTGCCACTTACCTGGCCCTCTCATTAAAAGTAGACACAACCAATGACCCAGCTGGAGGGTGAGTATAAAGGTATTCAAATCCCTTTGCAGGGACGTAATACTTCTTTTCCGCCTTCTTAGAAGTGGGTGGAATAGAAGAGGGGGTCTGCCACAGCGACTTTGCGATCTTAAGGATCCCTGGGTGGATGGGCAGTGCGATCTGGGCCAGGGTGGTGGAGGATAGGAGGTTGAAAATGTCATCTGATTGCTCCGCCAATTCCTCAATTTCCAGATTTAAATTGGTAGCCAGCCTTTTAAGGAGGGCCTGGTGTTCCTTGAAGTCGTCAGGGGACTGGCAGGCTGGGAGGGGCCTGTCACCACTTTGTCTGGCGGTGAAAACAATTGCACCGCAAGGGGAGGGGCAAGTTCCCCTTCCCTTTCTGGGGATGGCTCCATAGGCATTGAAGCCTGCTGTGATTCCCCCACGTCGGATTCCTCATTGTGCTCTGACCCCGGTGCCAGCGGTGCCGTGGGTGGTTTGTCCGAGGTGGCCAGGGAGGAGTGGTGGGAGTACAGGACCGGCATCAGTATGCCCCAAGGATTCCAATAAGGCCATTGAGCAGGCCACTGTCCTTGCTGCCATGCCGCCACCATGGATGCCGCACCGGTCTTGCGAGTCAGCGGTGATTCACCCTTTCTTGGCAAGGGGCTGAACTCCTGCTCCAAACCAGACCATTCCCCCTCCGGTGACCAGGGCAGAGCTGTGGAAGCCTGTGTCTACACGCCAGTCTCTGACAAGGGTCAGTTGGCAGAAGGCAAGGATCGATGCCCTGCCCGACGACCAGTGCCACGATGAGGGGCAGTCCTGCACTGATAGGAGATAGTCTAGGCGATAGTGACCTGCTCCATGGTGATCTCTGGCAGGAGGTTCACCGGTACCGCAAGTACGGGGACTGGTGCCTCAACTCCGGTGTTCCGTGCCTTATAGGAGAGCATGGTACCAGGTTCTTCTGGCCAGAGACTGGTGTTGCAGGGCCAGGGTCCTGGGTATTGGAGATAGGGACCTACCCCTATGGTTCAGGGATTGAGGGTGTTCCACTGCCCTTTGGGGAGGTCCCATGACTAACTTGCCCTTAGACGGTAGGGCCTTAGCCGAGTCCGGCACTTGGCGCATCTATGGTGTCGGACGGCCCACTAGATCTTTAGCCACCTGGGCTGCTTCGGGCAACGAAGGCCCTAGGAGGAGGTCCCCTGCTGCTCCCGGGAATCGGAGGCAGATCCCTGGCTGGGTGTAAGGGTCCGACCGGAGCGGTACTCCCTTGGAGCTCTGGGGCGGGCACATGGCCTGACATAGGTCCTTTGCCCAAAGCCCCCTTCCGTTACTTAGTTGGTGCCGGGGAGCCCATCTTCTGCCGCTTCTTGGGCATTGGCGGGGGTGAACAATGCTGGGCAGGGCCCGGTGCCGGCAGTGCACTCCGCACCGATGCCGAAGTGCTAGGAGTGGCATCCAAATGAGAGGGCTCCGACACCAGACGAAGCTCAGCCTCCATGAGGAGGGTCCTCAAACGGATATTCCGCCCCTTCTGAGTTCTAGGGCAAAAGTTCTTACAAATCCTGCACTTGTCCTTTATTTGGGACTCCCCCAAGCACTTCAAACAGCTGTCATGGGGGTCACTAATAGGCATCTGCCTGTTGCATGACGAACATGGTTTGAAGCCCAGGAAATGGGGCATGCCCCACTCCGGGGTGAAGTCCCGGCCAGAACTCTGCTACTAAACTAACAACTAACACTTAAACTAATGGCTAACTAAGTACCTAAGAACTATACACAAAAGAGGTAATAATACCTGTTAAGAACTGCTAACACTCTTGCAATGTAAGACGAGGTGCTCTAACCAACCGTTACAAGTGGTAAGAAGGAACTGAGAGGGCATAGGGCTGGCGGCGCCTAATATATAGGCGCACTGGCACGGCACTCAAGAGGGCGCTACAGCCGACCCTCCGGATACCACTAAGGCAAAAATCTCTGATGACTGTGCACATGGGCGTGCACACACTTAGAATGGAATCGACATGAGCAAGCACTCGAAGAACAATGGGTTTAATATCAGTAAGACTGTTGCTTTTTAATGACTCCACATAGAAGCGGGGGGGGATGGGGTTGCTAGAACCCAGAACTTCCACAGAAGTAGTACGTGACCAAAAGCGGGACAGAGGCTGCTTTAAAAGAGGAGTGCTTCTCTAAGCAAGGCCAGCAAGACCAAGCCACCACAACATGCAAGAAAGGCCAAGCTTTGAAGGCCAAGCCTAAGGACTCTGACCAAACCTACGACTCACAGAAGGAGTGAGATCATATTTGGGGGACTGCATCCAGTATTTTGTTTTTCCAAAGATCTGTAACTCTCCAGTGTGCTTTGTTAAGAGTAAAGCGTAGGTTGTTGCTAAGTCTTTGTTTCTTGCTTTCCTGCCACACTGTTCCTGAAGGATTTAACTAGAAACCAGAGCTTCCATAGTCAGGTGGACTTGGGATAGGGGGGAGAGAACATGTCTAAGCAACTGGGAGTTTGGCAGGGTTGTGGCACTAATCCCAGGGTCTGAAATGGCCAGACTTCAAGATCCACTACCCAAGAAAGATGTCAGATTCAGTGTCTGCATATGGAAGTGTGCCTGAGAGATCCAGAGCTAGGAACAGTGATCAGTCACTGCCCAGAGCTAGGGGGACTTAAAAGCACCTGAGATCTGGCGACTGTGTCCACTAACAACAGACTGGAGTCAGTCCAGAGAAGGAGACCAGGCCAGGTCATGACAGGGGATTTAGGCAATGTGAGTAAGGACCTGTGGGGAGTAGAAGTGCAGCTACTGATGTATATGAATCCCTTCTCTTTTGTAGAATAAACTCTTGACAAGGGAAATGTAGCACCCGATGGACATTTAATGTGTGCCACCTCTCCACTGACTCCATCAACTGGTCTTGTGTGGGCCCAGCTCCAACCAACCAATTAGGATTGCACGCACAGTGCATAAACTTTCAGTTATGGGCATGAATAATGGCTAAAAGTGACTCTAAATTCAACAATGAAGGGGAAAAAAACAGCCTCCTTCTTGCAACAGTTCCTTCTCAGCATTTACCTACCTACCTACCAAGTTTTGTGTAGATAGACAATGTTTTATAAGAGATAATCAGTCAACAATGAAAAGCATAACTGACAAGGGAAAATTTCATCCAGAGCCCAATTTCAAAGGCTTTCATTTAAACCTTGTGAAAATAATTATAGTAACTACAAAGAAAACTCAAAGGGCATAAAAACTAGCAAGGTGTAAAATTTCACAGATTACCCACCTACTTTTGGAGAAATCCACCCCAGGAAATTATGCCTCATGTTAAAAGCATTTTAGAACGCAATTCTAATTAAGGAATCATTACCAGGGAGTTTAAGAATAAATTATAACAGGGATAACCACAAGACTCATGAAGGGGAGCACGGATCTTTCCTAATGCATGAAATAACTGGTTTATTTCACTTCCCATTTTGCACATTCAGGATTTTCCAAGTAACAAATTAAAATTAGCAGTTGGAAAGGACACAGACAGGTATTTAATATTTTTATCTACTTCCAAAATCATACATGCTTCTTATACTGATGCATCCGAATACAAAATGCCATTAACATACTGATTAGTGATATCAAACATATACAGTATTCTTAAAGAATCATATGAATTATATACTAAAAATACAAGTAGCAAATGTCAAGTTAAAGTTACAGTAGGATGATTATTTCTGAATATTTGCCATTACTGTAATATAAACAGAAACAGCAACAATAGTTTAGATGTAAGTGTGAACTTTTTAAGTTATTCTTTGGGTTTCTTGTTAAAAGTTTAAACAAAAACTTGGTTTTTGTTCCTGTTTGACAAACAGATTTGATTTCCCCCTCCCTCCCTCAAGAGTATGAATTCGTATTCTTTTATTATCTCTTTGCTTTCAGCAGAATTATTCATTTGTTACACAACTCTAGGAACAGATTTAGCTAATTGCTGCTGCTGAACCAGTATTAAGGCACTATTACAGAAAATACTTAAGTAACTAAAACGATGTCAGTGGTTCCATTGACTGTGATGCTTTATGTTACACATATGCTTACCAAACATGTGCTTACACATGTACCTGTACTGAACCATAGCTTTAGAGCACTGGTTCCCAAACTGGGGGCATGAAGAAATTCCAAGGGGGGCGCAAGGCTGCCCAGCGCTTGAGCTCCCAGCAGGGGAGGCTAGTCTCCGGCTCCTCCCCTCCTGTCCACCCTCCCCCGCAGCCACGCCGCTGCGCAGGCAGTACGGCTTGCACCCGCCCATCTCCCAGGCTTTCCAATAAGCCAGTCCTGCCGCTCTCAGCGGCCTGGTAAGGGTGCGGGGAGCAGGGGGAGGCAGTCAGGGGACAGGGGGCGGTTAAATGGGGAGGAGTTCCGGGGGTGGTGGTTAGGAGACAGGGAGCGGGGGGGGTTGGATACGGAGTGGAGTCCAGGGGGGCGCGGTGGTCCTGGCAGGGGGCGATCAGGGGACAAGGAGCGGGGAGGGGGATTGAATAGGGAGTGGGGTTCTTGGGGGGGGCGGTTAGGGGACAAGGATCGGGGGTGGTTGGATGATAAAGGAGAGGTGGGGGGCATGAGAGTTTGTCAAAAATGAAAAAGGGGCCGTGATGCCGAAAAGTTTGGAAACCACGGCTTTAGAGCATGCAAACTAAGAAATATTCAGTCCAGGTCCTACATTAACAAGTTGCTATTCTTTAGTTTCTTATTGCTGGAGAGCTGGTTTCAAAAGTAGATAATTAGCAAATAATGACTTTCCCTTTTTAAGTTATAGCAAATTTTGGAGTCAAAACTAAAGAATCTCTTCTAATAAATTAAATATTCTGAACTGCTGACAGCCACAGAGTAGGATTTTACCCCAGAAAGGTAACAATTAAATACATGTATTTCAACTGGAAATTTTATATACAGAGTTTGCTACTGAAATAATGTGAAATACTTAATTGGGTGTCATACCAGACTAATGTGACAAATCTAATTAAATGCAATTAATCTTATACTCTGCTTTAATTCCCTTTTCCTCGGCTTAAACGTTTTAGTACTGTGCAACTACTTTACTATTGATTAGGAGAATTTGGGTCCAAGTACTATTGCACTCATGTCCATTTTGAGCAACAATATAATATGGTCTTTTGCTATTAAAATAATTACATCAGTGAAAACAATTTCCAGCATAAGTTTAACTGCTCGACTGACATGATCAGAAAGTAAAGGCAATCTACAGAACAGGAACAGCATGGATAGAGACAAGGCAGGTGTTAAGGATATGAGACTGCCTAGAAGAGCATACCTGAAGCAGCAGCAGATGTAAGTAATTTCCCTATCATGAATAAATGCATTTGTATAACTTGGCCACCATGGCTCTCGCTAACCAAGAGATTTATATGACAGAACTTTGTCTCAAACTGTCAAAATATAAAACATATGTCTTGTATAGTTCTTTGCTGGTAAGAGTCATTAGGTGTCTTGCATCATGAATTATGAGTCTAATAGCATTCCAAGTCATGCAAGTCACTGAAGTATCAAAAAGGAGACAATTAGGAACCATAGCGATAGAAGCCTGCATTGTAAATAAGGCAATTACAGCCATAAAACTTCTATCCTTCTAACATTAAAATCGTTAGTACAATCAGAAAAGAATAAACTCAAAACAATTTCTTCGGGGCTACGATTTCTTCTTACTAATTCAAAGCTAGCAAAATGGAGTATAAAGCAAATTAAGCAAAATGGAGTACAATTTAGAGTATAGTGCAATTTACTTGAGACAATTTCTTCCCATTAGGCTTATGCTTACACCTAACGGGTTTGCTACTGTCATTTGTGAGAAGTCCAAGGCTTGAACCTCAGCCCATCTCAATCGGCAGAAGCATATACTGAGTGTTCCTTTTCTATGCACTGTGAAATAGGTAACTAGAACAAGGTAGGGCCTAGACTATGAGCAAAAAATCTGGGATTCAGGAAAAGGAGGAGTTTTTAAAAGTTATCACTGAAGAGCTTGTCTCTATGGACAGTATATGCCCTTCACCACAGAACACAGATGACTGCCAGATACGTTGCTTGATTTAAGTTAAGACTTCTCCAACATTTTCATAATGTATATTACATCTTAATAAAGATAGAATTTAATTGCATGGACCACTTTCTACTCCATCCACAATCTGACATCTATTACAAGTAGATCCAACACTTTGAAACTGATTATTAGTGATGCAGAAGAAAGCTCAACACTCAAACTCTACAATCTATCCTGAAGGATGATCCCTCACTCTCACAGATCTTGGGAGATAGGCCAGTCCTCGCTTACAGACAGCCCCCACAACCTGAAGCAAATACTCACCAGCAACCA